TTAAAAATCGGGGTGCTCCGTAGCCCAAGTTCCCCAAGTGTCCAACTGAAATAGTCGAATGCGTGCAGGGTATCTTCGAAACGCGGGAACAGTGCAATTGTTCCCAGTTGAAAATAGTGGTGGTTAGGTGTACTGTACCCACACCCGGCAAACCGGGCTGTTCGCGTCCCCGGCAAAGGGTCCAAGTTGTACGCCCTACTAGTGCGTACGTCATTGGAGTAGTAGTAAAATAAGTGCAGACTGTTTCACCATTACTGGAGCTGGCATTGTAGAAGTTTGCTAGCCATGACCTCATATTTCCTTTCGTGGTATCATTCAGTAGCAGCAACAATTTTCCTCTAGCTTGTATCTAGAGACCATTCCTGACCATTCCTGTGTTGCACGAAAAGTGAGCAATCACTGTCTGTCCTGCCATCCCTGCTCGCAAAGGATTTGCCCAACTCACACTTCGTGGTGGCTACCGTGGCTTTGTATGTTCATGCATGCTGCACGCAGCGCATGGGTGGGTGGGTGCTCTGCATTCCAAATTTCTCCCTATCATCACCGCATGATGATTGTGTGTACCGTATACTTCTCATGAGGGCAGGTTCATCTCGCTTTCACTCAGCTCCACTGACGAGGGCTTGGCCTGTAGCAGCCAAGTCCTCCTCATTCCACGGCGTAGCATGAGCTGAATCATCAGGGTGCGGCACGGCACCTGCAGGAGGACCCTCTGCCCTGCTACCCTGCTTCATCTCGCTTTCACTCAGCTCCACGGACGAGGGCTTGGCCTGTAGCAGCCTCATTCCACGGCATAGCATGAGCTGAATCATCAGGGTGCGGCTGTTAGAATCTAGAGACAGAAATGGAATGCACTAACGAAGAGTTGGGTACAAGTATGAAACCCTAAACGGGGCTGTACCCCATATTGGCTACCCCACTACAGCCTACATATATATGACATGCATATACTTTAACACACCCCCATAGGCAAAGTGGGGGAGAACAAGGGGTCACAAGACCAGTCAAGAGAAGCAAAGCAAGCTCAGGGTGGATCACAACGTCACCACACACACTGAGCACAAGCAAAGGGCCACAAGGCTAGTTCACATGCAGAGGCATATATGCAACAACGGCAGCACAGTGATCTCTACATAGCAGAGCAAGCATGCAGGTATATATATAGATCACAGTACAAGCAAAGTCTACAGCAAGTGAGGAAACGTGGGCACAAGGCCTAACAAAGTACAAAAACGCTGATGATCACCAGACGGAAGTGCCTTGGTGAATATATCAGCAGTCTTGGCCTGAGTGGCCACGTGAGCAAGACGAAGCTGACCACGCTGCTGCAACTTTCGAGCAAGGAAGTAACGCAGAGCGATGTGCTTCGTTCTGTGCTCCAGTCTGTGCTCCTGACACAAGGCAATGGCGGCCTTGTTGTTTACGTACAGAACTGGAGGAGAACGAGGCCGCTCTCCCAGGTCGATCAGCAGGTAGCTGCAGGGCGGGGCCGCGAGGACTGCTGCAGGGCGGGGCCGCGCGGACTGCTGCAGAACGGGGCCGCGACAGCAGCAGGAGGCTCCGCGGCAGCTTCTGCAGGGCGAGGCCGTGACCGTGGCAGGGCGCTCTGCGGAAGCTGCTACAGGAGCGACGGCGGCAGTCAGGCAGGGGCGGCGTCCAGGGGGGGGGCGTCGCGACAGGCCGGGGCGACGTCCAGAGGGGGGCGCCGCGACGAACAGGGGCAGCCGCGGCGCGCGGGGCTGCAGCAGGCTACGCGAGCTGCGGGCGCGGCGCGCGAAGCCGCAGCGGGCTGCGCGAGGACGGCAGCCGCGGCCCGCGGGGCTGCAGCGCGACGCGCGGGCAGCGGACGCGACGCGTGGGGCTGCAGCAAGCAGCGCGGGCTGCGGACGCGGCGCGCGGAGCAGCAGCGAGCCGCGCGCGGGCTGCCGAGGCGCGACTCGAACAGCTTGGGCGACGCGCGGGGCAAAAACCGGGCTGCGCGCAGGAATCAGGTATGCGCGCTCTAAGCAGCAGCAGACCGCTCAGTCAGCAGACAGCAGGCAGCAGGCAGCCGGCGCGCACAGCGCAGCACGTCACTGGCACAGTCACAGTCACAGTCGTGGGGTAGCGGTAGGTGGGCCCGAAAAAAAAACGGTCCTACGGACCTACTGCTCTGAAACCATGTTAGAATCTAGAGACATGAATGGAATGCACTATGGAAGAGCTGGGTAGAAGTATGAAACCCTAAACGGGGCTGTACCCCATATTGGCTACCCCACTACAGCCTACACATATATGACATGCATATACTTTGACAGCGGCACAGCACCTGCTTGGGTGTTTGTGCCCACGCTGCCCTGCTGGGTGTTTGTGCCCAGGCGCTTTTCCACGTCGCCTAGTGCCCACCCCACCCACTTATTTTACAACATGCGGACCCCTCCCAGCACAGCACCGCACAACACAGCATTAGCATACTTAATCACACCTAAGCACAGCTAAGAACAGCAAGCACACATGAGAACAGCTGAGGACAGCGAAGCATGCGTAAGCATAGAAGCAGCGCATCTTGATATCTTCAAGTCCTCCGCCATGCTGCGCTTCACAAGTCCTCCTCTGCCTCGCCCTGCGCATCACCAGAGAAGAGACAGCACATGAAAGAACAATGGGACATGGAAGAAAGAGGAGGAAAGAGAGCAGGGAGTCACTAACAAGAAGTAAAAGCGCACATCAGCACACTGGCGAAGCTGTTTAGAAGGAAAGAAAATAGCTGTGCATGCGTCCATTCCAAACGGCTTTTGTGAAGCAAGCACTATGTGAGAGACGTACATTAGCAAGGCCAGCCCTGCATAATCTCCCGTCACACCTACCATGAAGAGAAAGGCTGCACTGCTGTTGCTGCCACTGCTTCCCCCGCAGCTACTGGCAGTTACAGCAATGGGACATGGAGAGGGGAGGGAGACCTGGAACCCATAGCAATAGGACCCGATAAGAGGGGATGCCAGGCAACATGGGAAGGATATAAGGAGACGAGTAGGACATCGAAGCACTGGACAAGAACACAAGGACTACTGAATGGAAAAAATGGAGGGAACTGCAATTGAACCAACTAGCATACGATGAAACTTGGAAGCAGTAGGGTAAACTGCAATCACCCTTTATTGCTGCAGCTGCAACCACTGCAGTGGTTGATGATGCTGCAACTACCCCTCCCACCACTATAGCTGCTGCTGCTACCACCACTTGTGCCCGTGCTGCTGGTGTTGGATAGACGGGATGGAAGAGAGAAGAGCAGAGGAGAAGAGAGGACAGGAAAGGGGGAGTTTGAGAGGTGAAGAGAGTGGCATTAAAATCCGGCGACACAGCACATGGCACTGTGGAAAGCACGTTATTTAAAAATGTGGTATACCAGCTGATTGGCTCAACTGTCAAAATAGTAGGTTAGCTAGAGTGACTTAGGGCGTGTTACGTACCCCTTAATTTGGTGGCAGGGCCCGGTTGCCTGTAAAAGTCGACCCAGCGTGACTGGTCGGGTCGACAAGTGGGCGGTTGGGTCCCAGCAGGCAACCTGCGTTTGTACCATTCGCTTGTTTTCGGGACCCAACCACTCGAATAGTTTTTTGGGCAGACCCAACAGTTTTCCGCCAATGTTCTGCCTTCAATTTTTTATATTTGTTTTCTTCCACCAATCGCATCGATATTTGATTGTGTAACCTGCCCTTGGTGTTTACTGTATCACTGGTTGCGCTGCATGTTGGTACGTTCGAGGCTGGTTGCCTTGACTCGATTGTGCGTGGGCGCGACCAACCGGTCGCATTGACCACCTGGTTGCCTCGACCAGGTGTGTGAAGCTCTGGTGCGTACGTACAATACTGTACATTGTACAGCTGCTGGTAATCCGGTGACCCTAGTGGTCTACCCAAACCGACCGTTTGAGGCAACCCGACCAGCCCCCAAAAAGAGGGGTACGTAACACGCTCTTAGGAGCATTCTTAGAACCCATAGTTTTGGGGTTTAGAGCAAGGCTAAGAGGTGACGGGAGAGTTTGCCAAAGCAAAGAGGGTTTCACTATAGGCTCAAGGGTACAAATATGAAAGAACAAGCATGAGAAGAAAGGTGCACCACCTAACAAGCAAGATAACTACACTGAGTCTACACTACAGGCAGTTATAGAGTGATGTATACAATTACATACTGACAACAACTTCTTGTGTGCATACTTTGAAACAGCCGCTATTGCAGGCACGGGTGACCCCTGAGGAGCTGCAGGCACTGCCCCCTGAATTGCTGGAGAGTGGGGAGGCAGGGAAGAGGACAAGAGGCGTGAGGATGAGCAGGTGAGGATATGAATGAGCAGCGACATGCCAGAAGAGACGTCAGATGGTAGATGGAAAAGCGAGTGAAATAAGAAGCGACACTTGGTGCATTCGTGCTGCTGCGGCATCGTCACCCCTGGTTACCTCTTGTGTTGGAGGTGAAAGCAGCTTGCTGTACCAACTTCCCTTCAGGCGTGCTGCTCCGTTGGTCCCGACTGTCGATGCTCGCAAGCCGTTAGGCACATACACGCATGGGGAGAGAGACACATACACAGAAGCGGCACCAAGAAGGGAGGGTTAGATCCAGCAGGAGGGGAGTGGCGGAGGCAGAAGCAAGAGATATGACTCTTGCCTCTGCACAGCGATACTCTACGGCTCACTACACTCCCCTGCAAGCATCCCCTGGCGCATACCACACTCTGTCCGCTGCTCTGCCACTCCTGCACCACGCCTTCCCTTCACGCCTGCTGCTCCAAGCTGCTCCAGGTTGCTCCATTGCTCCGACTGCCCATGCTCGCAGGCCGTGAGGCACACACACACACGCATGGGGAGAGAGACGCGCACACAGAAGCGACACCAGCAAGGGAGGGTTAGAAACAGTAGGAGGCGAGCGACGGAGGCAAAAACAAGAGAAACGACTCTTGCCTTTGCGCGGCGACGCTCTACGACTCACCACACTCCCCCCTGCAAGCACCCCCTGGCACATACCATAGTGTGTCCGCTGCTCTGCCGCTCCTGCACCATGCCTTCCCTTCACGCCTGCTGCTCTAAGTTGCTCTGGTTGCTCCATTGCTCCGGCTGCCCATGCTCGCAGGCCGTGAGGCACACACACAGACGCATGGGGAGAGAGACACGCACACATAAGCGGCACCAACAAGGGAGGGTTTGAAACAGCAGGAGGGGAGTGGCAGAGTAAAAGAGCAAGAGACACGACTCTTGCCTCCGCGCGGCGACGCTCTACGACTAACTACACTCCCCCCTGCAAGCACCCCCTGGCGCGTACCACACTCTGTCCGCTGCTCTGCCACTCCTGCACCATGCCTTCCCTTCACGCCTGCTGCTCCAAGTTGCTCCAGGTTGCTCCGTTGCTCCGGCTGCCCATGCTCGCTGGCCGTGAACACACACACACGAAGGGGGAGAGAAACACGCATACAGAAGCAACACCAACAAGGGAGGGTTAGAAACAGCAGGTGGGGAGTGGCAGAGGCAAAAGCAAGGGACACGACTCTTGCCTCTGCGCGGCGACGATCTACGACTCACTACAGTCCCCCCTGCAAGCACCCCCTGGCGCGTACTTCACTCTGTCCGTTGCTCTGACACTCCTAAACCACGCCTTCCCTTCACGCCTGCTGCTCCAAGTTGCTCCAGGTTGCTCCGTTGCTTCGGCTGCCCATGCTCGCAAGTCGTGAGGCACACACATACACGCATGGGGAGAGAGACACGCACACAGATGCGGCACCAACAAGGGAGGGTTAGAAACAGCACGAGGCGAGTGGCGGAGGCAAAAGCAAGAGACACGACTGTTGCCTCTGCGCAGCGACGCTCTACGACTCACTACAGTCCCCCCCATAGCTGTCCTGTTCGTACGTATCGTTGTCAACGATCTCCGAACGACGCCTGGGGATTCTTAATGTGCTTGGCGACGACCCGAAATCTGTTCATCGGAGTTAGTCGCACACATGTAGAGAGGGGAAAGAGGAGGACAGGGGGAGAAGGAGGGGACAAGAGTTAGTGGGAGGGTAGTTTCACGAACGACACGAAGGAGGAGAGCGTCTAGACTCTCTAGGCGTTCCTACTGTAGACGCCTACGTGATCCCCCCCACCAGCTTTCGCTGTTACGCATTGATCTTTCAAGGGATTTTAGGGAACGCCGGGGAAGTCGATGCGAAAGCATGCGATCCTTATGGCGCACTCCCATGAGCTGCGTCACGCTGCTTCTGACGGCCGCGTCCGTGGTGTTCGACGCATCGACGTTTTGTGGTGTGCCGTCGACGTCCTGTTGACCGTTTCGACCATCGAAAAGAACGTCTGCGAGCTTCGAGCGACGTCAGGCGATTCTGGGAGCAACCTTCGTCCGACCCGCAGCGATGGTGACTCCGTGCTTCGAACACACACGCAGAGGGGAGAACGGCGGGGGGACAGCAAGAGACGAAAGGCACACGCGTTAGTGGGAAGCTTTATTGAAACGTGACGCGAAGAAGGAGAGCGACGAGACTCTCTAGGCGGTGCTGTTCTAGACGCCTACATGATCCCCCCCACTTGCCTTCGCTCTTTCGTACCGTCGATCATTCATTGTTCGCGTGCGAAATTCAAGGGAACGCCGAGGAACTCGTTGCGAACGCATGCGATCCTCATCCCGTACGGCCCAGAGCGATCTCCCATGACATGCGTCACGCTGCTTCTGACGGCCGCGTCCAGTTGACGGTTTCGACGCATCGCAACGTCCACGTCTTGACGCTTGCAATATTCCGTTCTGTTCCATTTCTTGACGTCCACTGCCAGTTTCAACGGATGATATTCCGTTTTCGGACTGAAGGATGCTGCTCTCAGCACTAAGCCAAAAGTCGTTGGAGCAACTGCTTCCGTCGCACGAGATTCTCATGATTCGAAATACCATTTCCGGATAATATACATGTCGGTTGTTGCGTCGTGTCGTCTTGTCGCCGCATCACTTCACTCTAGAGTTTCTCAGGTCGCTGGAGGGCAAAGCAGAGACAGTCAGGAACCTGAGAAGCAGTTCGCTGCTGTGAGACGCCGCCGTTGCGAAGATATTCGCTACGCGCAACCGTCATACAGCAACGTGAGACGGTGCATCAGGGAGAAATAATTCTCAGAGTGAATTGTTTCAGCGCTGAGCTTAGCTGAATCTACATTAGCACGAGCAGCAGATTCTTCTGGAAGTTACCCCTCACTTAACACAACGAAGACGACAATAGGAGCTTTGTTCTAAGGAGCTTGTCGAAACCCAGTACCGCCAGGTAGGTGATTAAAGCGACGGTGCACATTTGCCACCCAAAACCCAGAACCCTGGCGAACTGTTACTGCGGATGGAAAGTGTCCGCACGAAATCCTGGTTTTCGCCAGCCAGCACTTTCGCGCTGGCAAGCCTGGTTCAAAAAAAAAACTTCTGAACCCAACACTGCCAAAAGTTGCCCGTCGCTTTAATGCGAAGCTGAGTCGTGGACTAATACGAGATAGAACCAGGACAGGAACCACATGCTATAAACACGATGAAAGAATCGGCTCCTATTCACTAGTAAGTCATAGGTCTAATCAGCTCGAACCGCCTTAGCCGTACTGTTGCATAAGCTAAGAGACGAAATCGGCAACAGAGAGGACTAATCTTCCTACCATGTCTACCTAGGAGAACTACCAGGTCTAGTGATTCGCATTCATGGATGACTTGAGAGGAAAGTTTTGGGACTGCCTTGGGGGTTCCGTGACTCAAGGAGAGCAAAGCAGCAGTCGTCCCTCTACAAGGGGATGGCATGGAATGGCATGGCGAGAGTTCGGCGGTAGGCCTGTCGATTTACAGGCATTTGCCCGTTTTCCCTGAGAATTCAGGGTTCGTTTCAACTCAGCTCAGAGATTTTCAGGGCTGGTTTTTTCCTGGCCCGTATTCCCAAAGAATGGGTTTGGAGCCTTCCCCGGATTTCCCGTGTACCTGCTCTCCCCTCCCCTCTTCCTCCCAACCCTTTCTTCTCACCCACAACAGCGTGCTCTGATCGGTAGAGTACGTACCTAGAATTACTTAGCTTTCTGGCGCATGTGGCTCAGGGCGGGAATCCAAATGGCCTGAATTTAAGGGCTAGATTCGAGTGCTGTCCGGATGTTTCAGGGCTTGTTTCGGGCCAGCTCAGCTTCGTAAGGTTTGGGCCCAGACCAAGCGACAGCCCTGTTCGGCGACTTTGTTGGCGCGGAAGCTTTATGACATGCTCGTGGGCTGATTGAGCCGAAGTTTGTCGCCAAAACCTTCCAAGTTTGAAAGCTTTCGGTGGTCTCTCGCTGTAACGTGACTCGGTACGGTTTCGCATGCGTACCTTTTCAAGACCATCTACGCTTTTTGAAACCATGTACTTGTTTATCAAAGGCACCTTTTGAAAATTTCTGAACACAAGGTCCCGAAAGTTGAAAGAAAATAGAGCCACTTGTCCATGGGAAGCTTGTTCAGTCCTGCAGCATCTCCTTTCAAGAGCGCAATGGTGTGAGAACATAAATGCTAGAGGCACAGGGAAAGGCATGCCACACATACTGCCTGAGCGGTATCTTCGACTTTCCTAGCATCTCGTTATCGCCAATACGAAGAATTGAAACAACCCAGAAAAACTCTCAGTAGTTGCTGTTTTGTCACGTAGGAGAGGGATGTTGTATGAAAAGGGCTGTCGTGTGGGAGAAATGGAAAATTGTTGTCAGGAATGGGATTCGATCCCATACCCTTCCGGACCAGTACCTGAAACTGTCGCCTTAGACCAACTCGGCCATCCTGACACGTGATGATCTGGATTTTGGATAATATGTAATATTCTGTTGGTACATAGATTTTCTGCTTTGCAAGTAGTGTTAAGCACAATCGCCAAGTCTAGTGACCATGGCTCCCAGCGATGAGCTCGAGGCTTTACGGCAAGCCGTCGTTGCGAAACAAGAGGAGGTTACCACTCAAGGCGACACCGTGCGAGCCCTAAAAGCCGCGAAAGCCGATCGCGCCGAGATCGACGCGGCGATCGAAAAGCTCAAGCACTTAAAGATCGACCTCGAGTCGGCAACCAAAACGTTCACGGCAAAGTCGGAGGCGGAGGGAGGAGGGAAGGGGAAGGATGCGAGCATCAATCGGGAGGCGTTTCGGCAGGCCGTGAACAACGCGTTGGAGCGGCGGCTGTTCATCATTCCGAGCTTCAAGATCTATGGCGGCGTGGCTGGGCTGTTCGACTACGGCCCGCCCGGCTGCGCCGTCAAGTCGAACGTGCTCGCCTTCTGGCGCCAGGTGGGGTCTGAGGCAGGTGGGATCTGAGACAATGCGATTTGAGAGGTGTGATCTCAGACAGGTGTTACCTGCGAGGGGTGATTTGAGGCGGTTGCGACCCGAGAGGTGTGATCTGAGACAGGTGCGATCCAGCACAGGCGTGATCTAGTGAAAATGGGTTTCTGAAACGGTCACATGGATTTCTTCCCAAGGAGCACGTCAGCGACCGCGACTCACGGCTGATCTCGCATGAGTGATCCTCCTTTCATGAATGATGAACGATGTGATTAAAATGGTCGCCGACGACGCTTGCTTTCGCTCCTGCGCGTGTCGATCTGCGCGTGTTCAAATGTCTGGCACGGGTAACGCACGTGTCAGGCATAAACCCTCAACCGCGCAGTCACTTCTCCATGTGTACCTTTCCAGCGTCCCCTCCACGCCTGCCGTAAACGCTGATGCTCTCTTCTCGCCATCATCCGTCCCCGCTCGTCCTCTTTGGTCACAACCGTCCCCCCAACCCCTTCCCCTCAGCACTTCGTCCTGGAAGATACTATGCTTGAAGTGGACTGCCCATGCGTCACCCCCGACGCTGTCCTCCGTGCGTCAGGCCACGTGGCCAAGTTCGCGGACCTCATGGTGAAGGACGTGAAGACGCAGGCGTGCTACCGCGCGGACCACCTCTTTCCAACCCCCCTCCTCTCTCTCCCTCTCCCTTAACCCGCCGCCCCCCTCCCCCCCCACCCCGCCGACCCCTTCCGTCTGCCAGCACTTCGTCCTGGAAGAAAATATGCTCGAAGTGGACTGCCCGTGCGTCACCCCCGACGCAGTCCTGCGAGCATCAGGCCACGTGGACAAATTTACCGACCTCATGGTGAAGGACGTGAAGACGCAGGCGTGCTACCGCGCGGACCACCTGCTGAAAGACCACCTCGGGGAGCTGCTAGAGAAGGAGGTGACCATGGCGCCTGAGCGGCGCGAGGAGATCAAGCACGTGCTGGCCGTGCTGGACGAGTACGGTGCAGAGGAGTTGGACGGGAAGTTGAAGGAGTTCGGCGTGAAGGCGCCGGACACGAAGAACGACCTGTCTGCTCCATACCCATTCAACCTCATGTTTTCCACCGCTATTGGCCCCACGGGGTTGTTGCAC